GCCAGATAATTTTCCCAGATAATTTAAGCCTTTAACCACTCCCATGCCACCATACCTTCCCCTCTAGAGTGGTAGCACAGGACAGAAGGGAGAAATGGTCAAGAATCTGCCCATCTGCCACCCTGCCTCCTGCACTAAACTCCCATCAGAGTTTATGAAGCAATCCTAGCGCATACAGCCACAAAGCATCAGTACTGAGGATGGCATAAAAAATCCAACCATGTCAGCATCTGGCTTGTTAATTATCCTCTGAATCACCTCCCCTCCAAATTCACTGCTGGAAAACCCAAAGCCATTGCTGAATCTAAATAAATGTGAGAATCGGAGGGAGACCAGGAAGTCAATACTGCAAACTAACTGCTTCTACAAATGGATTTTCATTACCATAGGAGCAGGCACCAGTGTCCAGAAAGCCCCACAACAAGGGTAATTATTCGCTGGCAGTGCTCTGTATTCACAGAAGGTGCTTTGCCTTGTTTGCAGCAGTAAAGGGCAGCTGAGCTATTGATCAGGTCAGACGCCTGTCGCTCCTGGAGGCATCAGGGGTTTTAACAAGCCACAAAAAGACCGTATTGGAATTGTCACCAATTCACGCTTGGTTTGTAAGGCAATTTGAAGCAGATTTATTGACACACACACACCCCCTTCCCTTCTCTGCCATCCGCAGGGTACAGAGGGAAGGAAGGCTGCCCAGTAAAAAGTCTTGCCAGGACCTGCCAGAAGAGGCCCCAGAAGGAGCTTCTGAAAGAAGGAAGAGTAGAGTGCTGATATCAGCAAAGATTTTAGCTGGAAAAGCATCATTGTGCCTCAAAGGGGAGTACAGGTCACTGCAAAGCCCTGCTACTGAAAGCAATTCTGTCCTCCTCCAGCAAACAAATGCCCATTTTCAGCTGCTCCTGAATCTACACTGGTCTTACCCAACCTTTGACCCTGCCCAGCAGGGCACAGCCCAACTCAGAGCACAGGGAAGACCCTCAGGTTTCTCTCCCCACACTCTGAAACACTTGGTTTCCTTCCACGATGCAAGAAAAAGGTGTGCAATGGGAAAAAGGTGGGGATGAGGAGAATTACAACAGGAAAGCACAGGGCCAAGTGCTAACCAGCAAAATAAAACTCCTGCCTGCCCACATCAGACAGCAGCAGCAGGAAGACCTACCAAAGTAGGTCCCACAATCAGACTCTACTCAGTCACAGCATCTTCACCTTCCAGCACTGAGGGCAAAAACTTCATCCAGTTTCCACTGCAAATTAATTCCAATAACCTCTGAAGGCCTTAAAGTTCCCCAACCACAGGGGCTTAAGGTCATACAAAAATTGGAACTCCAACAGCTCATGCCCGAGCAAGGTCCCAGCTACCCAAGAAGCCCTTCAGGGAGGTCACAAGCCTTTATAAGCAGTGTTGTTTTACAGTAGGCAATAGCACAGCTTGTGCAGAATAGATGACAATGTCAAGTGTGTCCAGAAAAATGGTAATGCAAAGGGGAAATTAAGCTCCTTGCAAGCAGCTACAGCACTTTTGCCTTTCAGCACTTCCTAAGAACTTCAGGTTCCCAATCTACAGCCTTCATGACAAAGCTGCTTGGAAAACCCTCCTTAAGCAGTTACCCTTGCCACTTAGAGGGCATAGTAACATGTTGGTTAATGCCTCCTAACTCCACTTGTGAAAGGTGACAGCCTTTCGGAGTGATGCCCAAGGCAGCCTTCACTCAGTACCAGCGCATTCCCCGACCAAGAAGTCGGGCATTTGAACTGCAGGGACAACATGAGGAAAGGCAAAAGTACATGCACATGAGAATTAAATAATTAAAGTGTTAAACAAATTGGCAGAGGGAGAGGAGGTGGCATCTTCCAAGAGGGAAACAAGGAGCAAGTACCCCTGTGATTGCATTTAAAATTCAAATCAGCCTAAAACTGAACTATCACATGTGACCACAGCCTAAGCAGGGAGGAACAGCAGTAGCTGAGGGCAAGATAATCAGTTGGACTATAATTATCAGAATCAAGGATCACTACATCATGCCCAAGGGCTACCGAGAACCAGAGACATCTCAAAGCTTGTCTTCCCTGCTGAGGTGTTTGTCTAGGTTTGCCATATTACTAACGCATTTCTTATTTCTATCCAAAATGACTCAAAAATAAGGGTAGACAGATAATCAGGCTTGGATAAAACAGAACAACCTGGACCCTCTTTCAGAGCTCAGATAAGTTCCTGTTTTAAACAGTGCAGAGATCCACCCTATTTCTCATTTCTTTCCAGCCTTTACCCTCCTGCTGTCTCAGCAGAATAGATGGGACCAGAAGAGAAAGAACAAATAAAGTGAAACTATTCCTAACCACAGCTAGTCTTGGTGAGAGTTTTTGCCCTTCTTGCTTGGTCTAACAGATCTCCTTGGTCCTCTGAATCCTTGGAAGTAAGCAAGGGTTAAAAATGCATGTAGAGTCTTCCACTCAGCCTCTTCAAGAAGAGCTTTAGGACCTACCATGAGAAGGTAATTTTAGCCTGTTATCAGCCATTGGGACTGTAGCAACAGAGCCAGAGAAGCCTCACAGATGCTGGACTATCCTGCTCCAGCACATGGAGCCAGGGAGATCCCAGCCACGTGCAGCATTTAAGCTCCCAGCTGCAAATGTAGAGGGGCCCATGGGCTGGGCACCAGCTCCCAAGGTAAGAGCAGCCAGTAGAGTTTGCAGTAAATGGGTTTAAATTAAGAGGAAAAAAAATATGCCCCAGTGATCCATAGGCAGAAACAGCTTGATTTCTTAGGCTAAACACTATATTAATACAGGTCAGACATGCTGCATTGACAAATCAATACCAAGTACAGGAACATCTAGCTGTTTCTTAAAAACCACTTTTATCCAGGTAAGTGTAAAACAGGATTCAGGTACTTCTAGGTAATAGCAACTTTGCTATTGAGAAGACAACATACAGCAAGTTTCCTACCAAGCAGCAGGACCACCTCCAATGCTGCTTTTGCAGTTAGTGCACCCTGCAAGTTCAGAGACAATTACATCACAGGCAGGCTGGATCTGCTTCTCCTTGAGCTTTCCTGGAGAGAAATCGCTTGGCAGGAGTCGGAGAGCATGCAGTAGGGAGATGACTCCTGCCTAAATTTGTCTCCCTGATCTCAACAATAGCTTGGCTTATTATTTTGCCCTCAAAGTAGTTGCTACATGAGGAACACAGGTTGGACAGTTGCATGATAACCTCTCCAACATGCTGAGCTCAGTGAAGTTGGATCCAAGTCTTTATTATGGGGGCGGGGGGGTGTTGCATCAATGGAGTAACCAATGCCAAACTTAAGAACCATGTGGTCCTGCCACAGGACAGGACTAAGCCATTACAGGTAATAATGCAGGATTTTGAGAGTTTTAGGAACAATATTCACTTCTATTTAAGAGAAGGGGGAGGAAGTTCCACCTCTTCCAGCCCATACTTGCTCTATCCAAGAAAGAGGGACTAGGGAGGGGGCTCTCTCAATTCCAGGAAACAACAATTTTAACCATCTTTTTAAATAGTTAAGGCTAGAAGCAGCAGTACTCACAGCTCAGTGAAGTTGGATCCAAGTCTTTATTATGGGGGCGGGGGGGTGTTGCATCAATGGAGTAACCAATGCCAAACTTAAGAACCATGTGGTCCTGCCACAGGACAGGACTAAGCCATTACAGGTAATAATGCAGGATTTTGAGAGTTTTAGGAACAATATTCACTTCTATTTAAGAGAAGGGGGAGGAAGTTCCACCTCTTCCAGCCCATACTTGCTCTACCCAAGAAAGAGGGACTAGGGAGGGGGCTTCCTCAATTCCAGGAAACAACAATTTTAACCATCTTTTTAAATAGTTAAGGCTAGAAGCAGCAGTACTCACAGTGGGAGCAGACTCTACTCCTTTCCTTGAAGACAGGAGGACAAGATACAAGGAGCAGAGCTTTTCATTTAGAAGTTCAATAGAAATTTGGTCTCTCAGCTTCAGCTACATCATGGTCTGGCAAGTCTGAAAACACTAGGCTGTTCCAGCTGTTTGAAAGAGGGTCAGGCATGACAGCTGAAATATCTCCTGGCCAGGAGAGGTCTGTGGTGACAGCAACTGTCACCTACACCCTAATGACTCTCCATCAAGGAGTCCACATCTCTCCTAGGCAGCCACTCCTGCAGCCCACTGTTCCATGAAACTGAAGTCTTCACTACAAAGTAGCAGCAGAAAAATACACACAGAATTATACCTAGGAGGTATTTAGACCTAAGAGTTCTAACAGCAAAGGATGCCAGGATCCTGACAACCCTCCACAGCTTCTCCAAGCATGGGAAAATGCCATACATGCCTCCAGGCTCATGAAGAATAAGGAATTACAACTTGGTGCTTTCCAGGACAGTAGAAGGGAAAAAGTAGACAGCCACAACCCTCACTGTACTACTGAACCTCTCATCAGTTCCTGCATTCCTGATGACACTGTCCCAGAATCAAGGAACAGATGGAAGAGTTCAATCCACATCTCTTGGGCCATACTCACTCTTGCAGTCTTTCTCCAGAAAACAATGGAGACAGTAAGTGTTTTTGCATGCAGTAGTTTATTCTAAGTAGTTATGGCCTAGTACAAGCAGCCTCCAGGAAGATAGTTCTTTACATTGTATGTTAGCTGATGGTTTAAGACCAACAGTAATCATTGTGTGGAATACAGGCAGTACCCAGATACACTGATGGACATACCATAGGCAGCTTGCTAGGGAGGTGGGAGCAGTGCAGAACTTCAGCTCTGTTCTGGACCAGAGCTCAGCCACCATTCCTGAAGGCAGCTACAGGCACTGAAGAGTGACCTTGCTAATTCCAGCACCTTCCCTAGAAGCTCCTAAGGATTTATTCACCAGTACCCAATAGTCATCCAATATGTGACAGCTCCACTCTTAGCTGGAGAATGAAGTTACATAAAGCCAAGACCAAGTCTGCACTAAGTCCTTACCAGAGAGTCAGGCCAAGCAGGGTTGTGCTCATGGCCTTATCCTTTACAGGAGGGTGGCAGAAGCTTCATGATCCCCTGCTTGTGTTGTATCTGCCTCCTTCTCCTGCAAGGGTTCCTCTACCTGTGAGGTTTCCACCTCCTCCTCCCCCTTGGGGAAGAAGGGTCCCACCAGCCAGGAGAGAGGAGTGTTGTTTTTCAGGTAGTCCAGCAGCTCCTCCATGTACTCCTGGATGACAACTAGCTTCCTCTGGCTCTGGGTCAAGACACTGCTGGACAAGTCCTGAAAGGAGTTTGCTGCTGAGAAAGAACGATGAAGCTCCTCTATGGTACCAAGAGATTGTTTCACCTTATCCTGAAAGCTTGAGGGAAGGCCTTGAATTGCAGAAACTATTTTACAGCAGGTGGTTTGCAGCTGCTGTGTGATATTGCGTGCCATGAGCAGGGCCAGGAACTCCATCTCCTGGGGGGAGGGCAGGAAGGACAAGATCAGAGGGGTGAGTTACTTCCAAAAGAAAAGCATTAGAAAAAAAAAAAAAAGGGGGATGCCCAGCACACTTTGCTTCCCTCCCCAGGAGATACCTCTGGCTCTGCAGAGCTTTCATCTCCACTCTCTTTGGAAGACTTCCTACTCCAGTCCAGCCACATCTGGTGTAGTTTCTCCTGGCCTTCCTGAAGCTTTTGATTAAAGCCTTGCTTAAACACTTCAATCTGTGGCAGAAGAAGATCAGAGTATCAATACGGAGAGATCTGCTGGTGAGCAGCACAGGTCTTTATCATAGCAATGAAGTTGAGACCAAACCAATGATTTGGTCCCTCCTTCCAAGGAACCAGGCTCTACCTACCAGTTCAATGATGTGGTGAAGCTGTGCAAGGGCCTCCTGCATGCCCTGCCAGACCTGCTTCATTTTGTCAGTTGACTGCAGGTAGGCAAAACGGCGAAGCTCGTCAGAGAGAGACCCCAACCGCACAAAGTATCTCCTCTTCTCCTGCTGCTGTTCCACAGACATTATGTCTGCACCCTCCTCAGATGCTGCCAGTTTGGCTGAGGAAATAGATAGTATCTGCAAGTGGCTGACCAGAGATGCTTACCACACAAACCAGCAACAGGAGATCTTGGTCTAGGAGCCAGGTAGCCTCCAGCATGGCACTTCCCATTAACCCCATTCCAGAGCAGCATGGGGAGGAATGGGGCTGACCATCCCCAGTGTGATGATTCCCATTGCCCCATTCCAGAGCAGCATGGGGAGGAATGGAGCTGACCATCCCCAGTGTGAGGATTCCCACTGAGAAATAGTCACATATGTCATTTCCTTACCTAGTTCCTCATTTCCAAGAGGGAGACAGCTGGCTTCTGCTCTCCCCACCTCAGCTTCTGCTCCGCTCACAGCTGCCTGGCCCACTCTGGAGTCCATAACCATCCCCACGCTGCTGGCCACTGTGGATCTGGCAGCCTCCACACCGCTCTGGAGAGTCTCCTTTGTGATATCCATCACCTCTGTCACTTTGCTGCTCACAGCATCCTTCGTATCAGCCACTCTGGATGACACCAGCTCTTTTGTGTCAGAGATAACCTGTGAAGGAGACATATCATTAAGGGATTGCATCATGTAGTGCACTGCAGTTCTGAAGCACACCAAGAGGACAATTAGTACAGTGCCTGATGAGTGTTTACTCCTGTAGGAGCTTGCACTATGCGCCTGGGTGTAGTTTGTTCCTCATACAAGAGTCTGCTTCACTCCCAAGGTTAGAAACCCTGGAAACCAGACCACTCTGTCAGCCAGGGACAGCACAGCCTTGGATTCTTACCTGTTCCACTGGCTTTTGGAAGAGTGGGATCTTTTCACCTAGTTTATCCAGACCCTTGGAGGCATACTCGCTTGCTGCAGCAACTGCAAAAAAAAAAAAAGTCAAAAATTGTTTCTCTGCGATTCCATCTCAGGTTCTACCTTCCTGAGCACATTGCTTTGCAGGAAGCCTAGGTGAAAGTCTCCATTCAGATCACCAAGCCATGTGCATCGTAAACTGGATTTGTAGAACAGCTTGTCTTAGTCATCTCATAGATCTGCTCACTTCAAAAGCAGCCAGTGGCTATATCTGTCCACTTGTATGGACATGGCTACCTACATGGGACCATCTCCTGCAGCTTCTGAGCTCTCAACTAAATAGGTGCATAGCCCTCCTCTCTGCCCAAGGATCCAGGATCACAGAGTAACTGACAGGAGGAGGATGCCCACTCTTGACTTAGAGTGAACTCAAGCCTGTCACACAGACTGTTCTGTCAGACACTCATCATTAGCAACAGCCCCTCTCTCTCCAGAAGTTTAGAGCTTCTCCTCTATGTCACAGTCATATTCTTTAACAGCCATGGCAAACAGGACCTTTAGATGTAACAGTCCTCCAAGAGGAAGTTTTTTCCTGTAGCCACCATGATCTTGTAAGAACCCAACTATTTGCTTCTGCCACCTAAAACTTTGGACCTTGCAAGATCAGTTTTAGGGAAGTCAATATCAGAGTCACAACCTGGTCCTCCATCACACTACTCAGACTAGGATGCAGCTTTTTAGCCTTACTTATAAGACAGGAGTTATCTTGTTAATATGGTGATGGAAAGATGCTATTCCACATCCTGTGACTCCTTCCAGTTCTGGAAGGAGCCAAGGAGTCCCTCACAAGCAGGCACTGGGGATTACCATGGGGCTCCAGTGTAGTCAGAACTGGCTGCACGCAGCTGGCTGTGGCTTCAGTCACACTCTTCACTCCTTTCTCTGCTGCATCACATACAGACCTGATGTAGGGGTGGCTCTCCTTAGTGGAGGCATATGCTGTAGAAACCATGTCACAGGCAGAGGTGACCAAGGTCAGGTTAGCCACCGGGTTTACTGCATCCTAGAAGAGGAAAAAAAAAAAGTGCCATGAAGCCTGCAAACACAACCCTGAGCTTCCCATGCAGTTTTGCAGTGCCACCTCCTCCTACCTACACCCAGGAGTCGCCACTCATTACACCTCACATGGAGCACCCTTCCAACTCTAGAAAATTCAGTGAAAATTCAGTGAAAATACCTGCTGCTCCTCTTCCTTCACCTCCAGGGAGGTCTTAGCAGCTTCTTCTTTGTCAGGCACAGCAGAGGCCATCGCAGCTGAAATGCAAGTAGCACCATGATTTTAGGAAAAAGAGACAAAGCAGCCAGAGAGCCCCCACAGGGATTCCCCTTTCTAAGGGACACTTCCCTCTGACCTCATTAAATGGAGAGGTTCCCTTACCACCCATTTTGGAGATCTTCCCATTATGGAAGAAAGGGACCAGGGCTACTTGCAAAGCCACCTAGTATTTAGGTTTCACATGGTTTATGTTAGAGGAATGAGGAGAACAATGTCTTTCCTCACCCAGGAGCTCCTGGTGCTTATTATCTATATATTTAGAAGAGGCACTGGGTAACTCCTTCCTCCCCACCAAGGCTTCAAGAAGTTTTTGAGAAGTTCCTACACTAAATAAATAACAACAGCAGAACTGGAAGAAAGAAAATAAATAGAGCAGCTCAAGAAGCTGTTCTACTGCTGTTAACACACCCCACCCAGAACCAGCTTTTCACTCAAAACCAGCATAGGCTGTAGCTAACCCTTCAAGCAGGACCACAAACAACCTTGTGTTAACTAACACTACTTCCATAATTAAGCCAGGTAAGAAACATCCAAACATAAGCCAGGAGTTCATAGAGCAATTACAGCCTTAACACCCAAAAATTTCCCCTAAAAACTTGAGAATCATACCTTTTTGTCCTGCTGAAGATAAGCAGATGACCAACAACAAAGAACCAGACACCACACCATACTCCATCACCCCTGTTCTGCCTTTTTATACTGGCTGTGAAGAGGGGTAAGGAGGGACCCTCAGTGACTGACAGCTCTGGGAAACAGCAGGAAGGAGCCAGTCCTTATCCTGGCCTATTAGAGGTGGAATGGGGCAGAGATGGGCCCTGCTGTGGCTCGTTAACTACTCTGTAATCAGGCAGGTACACCTTGCCCCGTGTAGAGGAGGTCCCTTTGGAGGCCAGTGCTCCTGCAAAATGAGAGGGGCATTGCTGGCACAGATCATGCACCCTCTCCAGAAATGTCTATTATTTGTGTTTCTCTTTGTGATGGGAAACAATAACCAGGAAAGAAAAACAAACAAACTCAGAGAAGACCTTCACATCCAATGTGGGCTTCCTGTTGCTTTTACTTGCTAATGCTTAAAGTTTAACGACAGGAGTAGCTGCTCAGCAGCTGCCTAATCTTAGAAGCACTGGAATTCAAGTTTCTCCTCTGGAAGTCCCCACAGAGCCCGGTCTCTCTACATCTTCTCCAAAGGCCTGCAGGGTGAGCACCCAGAGCTTAAGACTGGGTAGTAGCCAGGGTAGACCCGTTCTGCTTGGGTTCACTGAGTACTTTCAGGGGGATCTGACTCGTGCCATCCCCTCTGACCCCATGGTCTCAGACCATGCAGGGACCTCTGCGTGGTGGTGGGCACCACCATCAGGAGGAGGGAAGCCAATGGTGTCTGGGTCCTTCAAGAGCTCCCTGTGGGCGACATAGTCACTTTAAAATACAGCAGTCTGGGAAACGGCTCTGCTTTACTTTACAGAGGAACCATAATACTGAACAATCCATCCCAGGAGCAGGGGGTTTCCCACCGATGAGCCCCATGTGCCTTGGGGCTGCTTTTCTCTGGCTTCTCTGGTGATTGACTCCACCAGGAGTGAGGACAGAAATGGTAAATCACAAGAGTCTGGAAGCCCCTTGTGGCCGTGGTTGGTTTAACTCTTCACTAAGCAAATCCCTCGCTTTAGCTACAGAGGCTGAGCTGCTTTGTACTTATAGAAAAGGAAATAGATGGGATAAATTGTGCTTGTCCTGCACAATGTTTGATCTCTGGGAAGGCAGCTTTTACCAGGCACTGGGCACAGCTGCACACCTGAGGGTCCCATGTGCCCATGGCTCACACCCCATCCCTGCTCTGGGGTCGCTGCAGATTTAGGCTTCTGGTCCCTCATCACGGGTCTAGAGGAGGGACCAGCCCGGGTGAAGCCCTGAGGAGCACGCAACAACTTTGTCTTTGTACAAGGTGGGACTACGTATGAGACAGAGCAGCCTTCAGAGGCAAACTGTGCATTTAGGAGTGCCCAAACTACCATCTGAGGGAAAGGCTGGTGCCTCCATCCCTGTGAATAGCTGTGCTGGGAGCACAAGACACAGCAGCAGGGGTCAAGGCTGCAGGTCCCCAAAGGGAGCTCAGATGCCTTCTG